ATAGAATACATATATGGAAAGTATGGATGAATTGCTAATTAAATGTATGAATAAATATACCTGTGGAGGCATGGTTGAATTGCCAATGTATAAATATACATACACGGAGGCATGGTTGAATTGCCAATGTATAAATAAATATACTTATGGAGGCATGGTTGAATTGCCAATATATAAATAAAAATATTTACAATGGCATGGTTGATTTGCCAAAGCATAATTACGTTGTTATGTGTTAGATGATTAAAATATCATCTATGGTTGTTGTATGTATGGATTGGATTAGGGTTAGATATTCTTAAATGAGAATAGTTTAGTACTTACTGGTTAGTGTATTATTTTACATTAATAAAATAATATTGGGGAAGACGTGGATGATTTGTCAAAACTTGGATTTTGGATATGTGATTTAAACAATTAAAATCATTATCGGGTTGGGATTAAATAGAGTATTTCTTTTATTATAATTTGTTGTTTAAATGATTAGACAACTGACTAGGATGGGATTAAGATCAAAGGAGTTTTTATAAAATGAAATGGTAGATTGGTCTAGGTATGAATATTATTTTAATAATTATTTAATAGGTATGGAAATTTAATAAACCTATTAATGGATGTGATTAGTATAGTATATATAATTATATATAGACATGTATATCGTGCTTTATTAAAGTTAAAACTTTATTAGGTTTGGTTTTGATCAGAGATGATCTGCTTATTGGTTTTCAGAGGCCTGGTAGAGTGAACTTGCTCGTAGGGTTTAACCCACGATTTATTTTTCAGGTTATTAGAGGTTCCAGTCTCGAGGTTGAGGATCCGTAGCTGGGAGACTGTCATTCGTCTATTCATCTTGTGTACTTTTAAATAGTATTGGATTATTGGATAATGTTTTAAGGGGTCCTTGAGTTATGGGATTTCCGAATTGTAATTGTTGGAGAATCATTAAGTAATATTTATTTATTAGTTTTCTTCAGCGGTTTATTTATTCTTTATTATTCATCTTTGTATTCTGTGCTTGTTAAATACTTAAATTGTTTTGATATCCCTTGATTTTGTTGCCGGACTTGATCAATCCGTGTTCCAAAATTAGGGGGTATCACATTACTAAACATCCCATTGCTTAGTATGTCTCTTATAATTCCTTATCGCCATCTTTCTCATGTTTTTCCTTTAAGTTGTCTCCTACATTTGTTCCTAAGACTGTGCAGGATGCTTTGTCTGATTCGGGCTGGAGGAAAGCAATGCAAGATAAAATGGATGCTTTGTATAAGAATGACACGTGGAATCTTATTCCATTACCTCCGGGTGCTAAACCTGTTAGTCATGCAACTCAACTTTTCCATACAATCCTAAGTAGGCCTCTACCCATCGTCCTAACGGTATTTGAACCATTGCTCTGATACCAAATTTGTAACGACCCGAACCCATGCGTCCGAACCGTTAATCGAGTCCTTACCCTAACCCGAGGTCATCTAGGTCATACCTTCATTTCTTGTATCCATGGCCGTCCTACTAGCCGATCCTAGTCCCAAAATACTTTAGGAAAACTGCCCTAGAGAGGGGTCCAAGTGGAACCAGTGGAAAAGGATGGATCGGCCAGCTGATGGCCTTTCATCGGCCGACTGACAAAACAATTTCAGTCAACTGACCTACAGGGTCGGCCGGCTCTTGGGACTTTCACTATCGGGGGCGTCGGTCGGTTGATGATAGGGATTCGGTTGGCCGAACTTGAGGTTTCGATCGGCTGATGGTGAGGATCAGCCGGCCGAAACAAGGCCTCCTGAGATTTATCTTACTAGAATGATTTCAGACTGGGCTCTTCACAAGCCGAACCCACACCGGACATGTATGCAGTCAAATTCTGAATTTACAACGACGGGATATGACCTTATACAATTGATAGGCGTCATTAATTGAACAAAATAAAATTTCATTTCCCATTCATCATTTAATAATTACATAGTCTTAGTTTGCATCAAATTTCCATAAAGTTCATAGTTACAATGAATGACCTTGGTTTACTAAATGAATACACCTCACTAAGAGTTGAGATGTTACAAAAGAATGGTGATATACAAAAGGTTACAAAATTGGACTTCTAGTCCTCTTTGGCCTTGTGATGAGTCGGCATCCACTACTTTTTTCCCGAGTCCTAAAAAATGTTAAATATGAAAGGGTGAGCGAATTGCTCAGTAGGTGGTGCCTAAGACACACCTTTTGTGACCCCGTGAATCCAAACAGTGAATAGAACAATAAGAAGTGGGGTCATACTATGCCGGGAAATAATACAACATTACTTTTCAAATTCAATACAAATAATGCCGTCCATAAATGCAATGCTATGTATGTCGCTCCCCATTTCAAAAATCCAAATTCATCACTTTTCAAACTGTTAATATAACCCGTCCATTGATGACTCCGCAGCGACACGAGAGAAGGATTGGCTACTGTCCCTGACCCTTGGTACCCCCGCGGCGTCATTTGGGGCCCAGATAGCTCAACCACGCTAGAGTGTTTCCCTAATTCCCTCTAGGTTATATTAACACCACGACCCTTTGGTGACTCCGCGACGACCGGGTTTTCATAAATCACTTAAATCAAAACTTTGTCCCAAAAATTCCCTTTTTCATTCTCTTCAAATCATCTTGCCATTTTTCCATACCCAATGCTATGAATGCATGTCACATGTTTGTCATTACTATGAAAATAAATAAATTTTCACTACACAATTTAACATGCTTCCACATAGCAATTTCTAGCAAGATATTAAACATCATGGCATGAAAATTTACATTTAGGCATGCTTTTCATACAATTTAATTAACACATAAAATCATAGATTTCATCTACAACAATAAAATTATTTTCAAGGCAATCAACTCAAATTAAGCATGTTAATTTGGACAATATTAACTACACACAAAATCATATACTTTATATACACAATTAAATCATTTTAGAGTAAAATCAACACAAATTAGCATGCTAGGATATTAATTAAGTAAAATTAACTCACAAAAGTGCAAGATTGTGTGAATTAGACACCCTTACCTCTAAATGGATGAAAAGTCTCAAATTCTCCTCAAACCCTAGGATTTTGAGATCCTTCAAATGGTGGCCAAATAAAGATTGGCTCCGATCAACTTGTAGATCTCGTCGTGGGCTTTAATTTGCCGCAAACGGCACTTTAAAAATACCAAAAGTTGATAGAGAAATCTAGGTTTGAAGTTTTAATAGGAAAAGAAAAAAAAAATGAAACAAGAAGAGTGGAGTGAGAGAGTCCAGCGGGAGTGAGAGAAAAGGAAGGAAGAAATGAGGCTAAAATACCTCTTTGACCATTTTAAAGCTTTGATATGGGTCCCTTCATTTTTTTTTTTTTTTTTTTTTTCATCTCTTTTTCTTTTTGTTTCATTTTACACCACACATATACATATATACACATTTAATTTCACAATCACTTAAAACACATTAAATAAAAGAATTATGATGCAAATAAATCCAACTAAAATCCCCGGATGCAAAAATTCCGGTGGTGAGTCCCACACAGAACCGTCCGACCTGAAAAACAGAAAAATGCTAAAATAATCACCATTACATTTCAATGAGTCCTGAACTCAATAAAATGCCCCAAACAACTCTCGGACACAACCGGCGCACTCCACAGTGTCCGGCACGAAAAACGACAAAAGACGAAAATGCCCTTGCAACGACAAAAATTTCCAAAATAAAAGAAAAATGGCGAAAAATGGAAATATTACAGATGTGTCTCCATCAGTGGATATGGATGTTGTTGGTGGTGAAGTTGGCATGCGGTCAAATTCCTCTGGAAAGTTTGGGGCTCATTTGGCAGACTCTTTTACTTCCAAATCATTTCAATCTTTTGCAACTCAGCTAGCTTTGCTTGTGGGTGCTACTAACCTCACACTTACTGACACCTTTTGAGTATGTTTGTTATCAAGACTGTGATCTTGACATAGGTGTTAGTTTGTTTTGCTAGCTTTTGTTATGGTAAAAAAAATAATCAAAAAAAAATTAAATAAAAATAAAAATAAATTTCTCCGTGTTTGTTGTGTTATATCATAGGTGAGTGGCTTTTATGTACCTTGCTTTTTACTGTTTGGTAATGAAGAAAAAAATGAGGAATTAGTAGTAGAAAATTGTCTTGGGATCATGACCGGCATGTTAATTTGGGCGAGTCAGAGTAATCTGTTACTGATTAAACTAGTCTTGTGGAAGTCAGTAAGTCATGTATTAGTGCTTAAAGCATGGTTCTCCAAAGTGAAAGATGGGATATATTGGAGGTCTGATTCTTTACAATTGAAAATTTTTTGCTACCTGAAAATTTTTCTTGGGAGGAAAAAATAACTTTGGGTGCATCCTTTTTTGGCCAACATTATGTGTTTGTTGCCATATTTTACAATTAGTTCACACTTCACATGAAGGTTTTTTGAGCTTATTGACTGACAAAATGTTTTTTCTAAGCTGATGTACCAACGCTCACCAGGTTGGAAGAGTTCCTTGTTATAGAAAAGAAAAAAAACCATAAAGAAAAATAACAATATCCATCTAGAAGTATTTCATGCAATTTCCAAAAACAAATCTATAACTTGGAAATGATAAATTATTAAATGGTCTGGGAGTACATGATCTCAATCAACCTGACATACAAACAAATGTTATTTAGTTTATTTTTTGCAGGTCGAGTTGTGAATCACAGAACTAATTTGGGACCAAGTGAAAAAATATGTCTCTCACTATGATTTTAATTGTCTTGGACTTGTTGGGAAAACACAATACAAATATAATTGCTTAGGTAAGTTGTAAAAATATAGATTACTAGTGGCATATTTTTTTTTTTTTGCAACTAGTACCACCAAGTTGACCTTTAGGCACAAAGCGCCCACCCTCATGACACCTTTTGACTTGAGCAACTCAAAAAATAAAAACTAATTAAATGATATACTATTTAGATAAAGGAAGATAACTTCTCCACTCTACATGAATTCAACCTGTAAATGTTCTGGCATATAATATAATATAATAAACAGGCACACAAACATATATGATATATGATATATATACTGCCTCTTAACTCTAGCTTGATGCCCAAAGCATGCTTGTCCATTGAACTTTCACAAATGGAAGAGGTGAAGCTACTTGGAATATACCATAGTCCATTTAGTTGCAGAGCAATATTGGCTCTGAAACTAAAGGGTATACCATATGAATACATTGAAGAAGATTTCTCAAATAAAAGTCCTCTTCTTCTACAACACAACCCAGTTCACAAGAAGATCCCAGTCCTTGTTCATGGTGGAAAACCAATTTGTGAGTCCTTGATCATCCTCGAATACATCGAACAGACATGGCCACAAAACCCTTTGCTGCCTGCTGATCCTTATGACAGAGCCTTGGCTCGTTTTTGGGTCAAATTTGTGGAAGATAAGGTAAATATTTTCACTTTAATTAGCATTTTTTTATAAAAAAGAATTTGTGATAAAAATATATAGAGTACTGGACATTTTAGCTGGCTTCTACATGTTAGGAATAACATTTTTTTGTTTCTGTGAAGTAAGAAATAACATATTTCATGCCTTTGAACTCTATTTAGACACTAGAAAAATTAAAAAATATCAGTTTAAACTTGCCTCATTTTCTTATTTGCACAAATAAATGGTACCATATACCTTCCCAAAAATAAATAAATAAATAAAAATTAATGGTACAAGATAAGATATACTTTGTCCCCAAAATTCTTGGAGTGTTTCCGGAATCCCACATTTTAATCGCAGGTTTTTAATATATTTTTTCCTTATATTGATAAGGGTGCATTTTCAAATATATCTTTGTTAAAAGATAAAAAGATTAGTGCTCCATAGTTGGTACACTTGTTTAATCAAATCAATGTCAAAAGGATAGTTTAGGATTGCTATATTAAAAAATAGTGCATATATTTTTGGAAAGAAACATGTATTTTGGTATGTCTCAAAATAAAAAACGGACAAAAATTTTGAAACCATGGAGTATATTTTATTAAGTTTTACTAGCTTATTCCCTAACTAAAAATGTGTTTAGTTTCTATATAGAAGAAATCAAATAATTCATCATTGATTATGCTGCATATAGGGTCCTATAATTTGGACAATGTTTCAAACCACCGGAGAAGAACAAGAAAATGCAATGAAGGACGGTTTAGAAATGTTAAAAACACTAGAAAAAGCTCTAGGAGAGAAGAAATTCTTTGGTGGAGAGTGGATTGGCATAGTTGACATATCCTTAGGAGTGTTTGCTTACTGGTTGGGAGTTTTTGAAGACATATTAGGATTGAAACTACTTGCAGCTCACTCGTTCCCGCTCTTGCATGCATGGATAAAAAAATTTATGGAAGTGCCGGTGATCAAAGAAAATCTTCCTGATCGAGATAAATTGTTTGTGGTTTTCAAGCGCCTGAAGGAGTAGTTGTTGGCATCTCCATGACACTCTTATCATTTCTGTTAATTTTGAGTTTTGTTTGATGTTTCTTTGTATTTGTAACGTAAGCGTAAGTGATAAATTTATTCACGAGGATCGGATTACTTTGAATTCACAAAGTAGGGTGTTTTGAATTCACAAAATACGAGAGAAAAGCTGATAATTGTCTTTATAGTTGGTTGAATGATTTTTATATCTGTATTATATATATTTATAATGAAAGAAAACCTTAATCCATAAGGAAACTAAGTGCAACACCAATCTTTATAACAAAAGGAAACCTTATCTTGAAATGATACTAATATTCAAAAATAAGCTTAAAAATAAAGTCTGAAAACATAGAGGAAGAAAGCTAATCAAATAAAACTACTAAATATAAAAAATGAGTACAATCCGAGTTCGTTTAGATAACCAACAAAAATCATGCGACATGCTTCCTATAGGACAAAAAAATTCATTTTGCAATCCTAAATGATGGTACTTTGTCAAAAAATATTGTATGTGACAGCTTCCTGGAGTTCATCCAAGATATTTTAGAAGTAACGGACTCTCTCTCACATCAGATGTGAGAGAAGTGTATTGTACTCCTGCTATTATTATTTTATTTTATTTTACTTTATTTATTTCAGTTCACCCTAATTTGGGAGGAAAAAATAATTACCATCCGTATCAAGTACCAACCTGTGCCCCTTCTGAGTTCTGAGCTAATGTAGCAAGGGCTGAGCAGTAGGATTCAATCAAAGTGTTGCAGTCTCAAAAATAATCATATAGCGTCTACATTATAACACACTATATTAATGCGCAATATCATTATTTTTAGGTCAAAATAGGGTGTAACTGCTACATCTTCAATTCAATCAAGGTGATTCCATTTCACTAATTGTGAAATACTCTACCGACAGTGCAGACCAAAAAACAGCTCTTTTTCCTCTTTTTCTCCCTTATGTCACGGGCCTAGAGATTTGGCGTAGCGGCATGGCCCATGCGGCACCAAGGCATTGCTTCAGCTCGCGCAAGCGCCCTAGTCAGCCACTACGACCTGCCTTTCCAAGAATACATGCTGACTGGTTTCGACCTGCCTTGGTCTCATCAGGGGAACGGCTCTAGCTCCCGACCAATTTGTGCAGGGATGGCCAACTCCCTTCTTCATAGTCAAGTCCACGACTAGCGACTAGCGACAAGCACCTCGAACTGAACCGAGTCGACCTGCTTGAACTCTGAAGAGGTACCATCTTGTGGTCCTGCACGCCCCCTCTCTGGAACCATTCCCAGTTAATGAATGTTCTTAGCCAACTAGCATGCATGTCTTCTATACTCATGGCGTCGTTAGGAATCGGAACGTGACATTCTCCCCCACCCAAATCCTGCGACGCCCTCGTCGCAGTGCGGCACTGACTCCGCTACGTCCAACATTCCAAAGTCTCTCTCCTCCAAGTGGAATGCTCGCCTGCCCACCATCGCTTCCTTGTACAACCCCTGGCTGCACTCGCCCAATGATAGGGTTTCGGGCTAAAGGGACGCCTACTTCTTCAGGACGCAACCCCACGTTATGCCGCCTCCGCGACACCTCGAGCAAACAAGGGCCCTCCGGTTGACTTGATACCTGCCATTCACAACGGTTTGCATGCCTTTTGAATTTGCAAGAACTTTGGTGCGCGCGGCCCTCCGGCTTCAAAGGACGCCTCTTCATGGGGAGATGGAGGCTCTCCTCCAATAGCATTGATTGCCCACCGACGCTTTAGTGCACCCACTTCATTCTGAAGACCCCCGAATCGACAAGGGGGCACACCTTTGTGCTTTTCCCCAAGTCCTGCTCTAATACCATTTGCCACGGGCCTAGAGATTTGGCGCAGCGGCACGGCCCGTGCGGCACCAAGGCGTTGCTTCAGCTCAGCAAGCGCCCTGGTCAGCCACCACGACCTGCCCTCCCAAGGATACATGCTGACTGGTTTCGACCTGCCTTGGTCTCATCAGGGGAACGGCTCCAGCTCCCGACCAGTTTGTGCAGGGATGGCCAACTCCCTTCTTCATAGTCAAGTCCATGACTAGCGACAAGCACCTCGAACTAAACCTAGTCGACCTGCCTGAACTCTAAAGAGGTACCATCTTGAGGTCTTGCACTCCCCTTCCCTGGAACCATTTCCAGTCAATGAATGTTCTTAGCCAACCAGCATGCGTGTCTTCTATGCTCATGGCGTCGTTAGGAATCGGAACGTGACACTTAGCTGCGCTAGAGGGTTGTCCTCTTAGTCTTTCCCGTTGGTGAGCGAGAAGGGTTTCTTTAACAGTGCTCTTGTTAATCCAAGTTGCTCTGGTTACTTTTCCCTTGATTTGCCAAGTTTTTCCCTTGATTTGTCAAGTTTTATGGTCCCTTCTATTTTCATCTTTCTTCTTTCCGATGGGGGACGATCTTGTATCACATCTAGAGTTTTGTAAACTGTCCAAGGAGGAAGCTAAAGAAGTTGTGATCGCTGATGCGGTTGCTTTAGAGGGTTTCAAATTTTGTGAGCATAGTTTTACTGGAAAATTGTTTACCGAAAAACCTTTGAAGCTATTTGGTATGCGTAAGGCATTAAACGAAGCTTGGGATTGTGAGGGTCTCTAAATGTATCATATTAAGGACTCTATGTTCCAGTTTATTATACCAATTGCAGAAGACAGTGAGAGAATCTTGCGAAATCGACCCCGGAGTTTTGATGATGATTTAATTTCAGTGCAAAAATGGTTTCCGGATTTTGAATTATGTGAATCTTCCTTTCAACATGTGCCATTCTGGGTCAGAGTCACAAATGTCCCTCTGAATCTCTCAACGGAAGATGTCACAAACGAAGTTGGTTCCTCCTTCCTCTCTTGTGAGAAAGTGGAAGTGAGAGATCTTGGTCAAAATGATGGGCGATACCTTCGAATTCGAGTCGGCGTGGACATTTCTAAACCATTCCGGTGAGGGCTTAAAATCACGCATGGTACTACAAAACTGTTGGGATTTATATGTCCTGTCATAGCAAATTCCTATTTGGATTATTGTGACATATTTGAAATATTTATATTTTATATAATTGGTGAATTCAATGTATTATGTTTCGATTCATTATGGAATTGATAGTGTCCACTTGATTACAAGAGATATTTATATATGTATATAATGGAGATCAATACATGAATATAAATAGTAATCATAAATTGTTTATAGTCGGTAATTATGGATGAACTCATTATTAACTAAGACTTGAACTGGATCCGCGTTAGGTTGGGATATATTGCGAGATCCGTCATATGCAATTGTTCCCTATCATTATCATGGCATTTGACTTTTAAGCATGAGAGAAGTATAGACTCTTTTATTAATTAGTAATTACTTTGATTTGTTCGGCGGAATCTTCGGAATCCTTAAACCGGTACTTTGGGTAATTATGTAATTAATAGTTAGAAAGTTATATTTTTAATATTTGCATCATTGCTGCTTGTATTTATTTTGTATTGATTATGATTGATCACAAAGTAAATTCGAAGGTCTTCGTGTGTTTTTAGACAAAATGATTTATTTATTTATTTAAATTATTATTTTTGTTAAACAAATGTTTTATTGTGATCGAGCCAGAAATAATCAAAGGTACTAAAATAAATATATTAATTAAGTAGTCGGATTGATGACTTTATTTATCCGATAACTAATTATGTATAGAGGGGTCAAAGTGCAACTTTGACTTAGAGGTTATTTATTATTTAATTAGAGTTCAATTAATTTCTTTTAGTGGAGTAGAAATTAATTAATGAATTAATTTAATTAGGTCCATGGATCGGGCCAATTATTAATTCATTGTAGTCAATAAAATAATCAGCCCAAAGGATTCTCACTCATAGCCCAACTTGATATTGGAATCCTATTAGATTTGAAATATCACATTAGTTTTAGAGATTGAGAAAAATATAATGTCTTTAATTATTATTTTTATGTTGCCTATATATACGTGGAGTCCATGCATATTTTAGATTACGCTTTGTAAAATAAGTTTAGAGGACAAGAAAATATTTCTCTCTCTAGAATTTTAGGGTTGGTGTTCTCATCTAATAGAGGCTCTCACAAGCCTAGTTTTTCAAAGTCATTCATGGAGGCTTATGGGTGATTTATCAAGAAAAGACCATTACCAAGAAGATGGAGATCCAAGGAGAAGGCATTTAGCAAAGGAATCTACAATAAGTGAGAACATTCACTTTAGATGAGAGATCTAAGGTTTACTCAAACCTTAATGTAAGTTTTCTATCCCTAAATTGAATGGATCATCATATTCTTCCTGCATAAAACTTGTCTCTAAATCAAGATCTTTATTTGAAAAACCCTTATAAAGTTTTAAAAACTTCCGTTTCCCCAACAGTGGTATCAGAGCTAGATTTGATTCATGTATAAAGTTTATATTTTTTATTGAAGAAAATCATCATTCATGGAAGAAAATCATCATTCATGGATCCAAATTTATATATGCATATGTATATATTAATATATGATCATGATGTATGTATATTTGTGATTAGATGATGTTGATGTACGTTTGGGCCATGGATGAAGCTTATAAGTTCATTGAATATAATTTTATCTTCGGATAAATGTAATTATGGATTTGATTGAGCCATTTGGAAGTTTAATGATGTAATTTTATTTTTTTTCATTGTATTTTAAATTATAAATTTTATTTAAAGCCATATAATTTTTATCAAAGGATGCTATGAAGCTTCAAGAAGGTCCAAGAGGGTTAAATTAGGCTTCAGGAATTTTCTGAAATTTTTTTGGAATTTTTTTTTTGAATTTTCTAAAAATTTTTGGCAACTTTTCGGCACCGGTGGTCTGCCGGCGGCGAAGGAGGCGCCGGAGGGTTGGTGGCTGATCCGATGCAACGCGGTCCACATACGCGCGCACCAGTAGCCCTTGGATCATCATTAGGTGCGGCCGGGCTCACGGTGCGCCCCAGCGCACCTAACCATCTGGCACGTGAAGACCATGAGCAGCTAAGACCAGCGCCACATGGCGCGTGGCAGCGTGTGCCCCTTGTTGCCACTCTCTCCTAGCGCGTGTAGGATTATATGGGCGCGTAGGCGCGCATGAGAGGCGCGTGGGAGCGTGTGG